AGAAATAAACCTTTTAGATGCCTCATTGCTGTCATACTTACTGACTGCTGATCAAGCTTACCATAGAAATTGGTAATTCTTATAAATATTTTCTTTGCTCATTTATAATAATTTTACTCTCTAGTAATTGTTTGACTGTGGTGCAAATCTATTATACTATCAACCTGCATAAAATACTAAGTTAAATTAAAACTTAAAATAATTATTTTTGGTTTGTTCCTTCTGTTAGAAGAATAATTAGAGGTTCCAAATTGAGCTGGGATTGTGCAAGTATAAATAAAAATGAGATCCAGACAGCTGTGAGGAAAGAAGAAATATTTATTCCTAAAAGCAAAGGGTTTGCCTTTAAGGGCAGCTGCAGAGAAATGGGGTACAGTAATACAGTTATAAAGAGAAGTTTGTCATGGATGTGGAAGTGTCTAAGTGCTTATTCTAGGGTGACACTTGAGGGACATCTATGTAAGTATGTCTGTGATGCTTATTTTTGTGAACATACCGTTCCGCTGGGAGACCTAATTTAATTAACTCTGTTTGTGTTTGCAATCCTTATCCTTGATATGTGGATTACGTCTGGGTAACTTTGGGGGGATTTGAGGAAGTTTGAGTAAAAGATTTTTTGCCATTTGCTATTTTTACTTGATTAACTTAGTTTCAGCATAACTGTCAATTATCTAGTGGAGACACTGATTCTCAGTCCATTGTGGATTCTGTTAATAATTTAAGGAAAGATGGAAACAGCATAAAGAATAAAATATATTTTCATATAAAACTTCACACTTCCTCCTTCCAATTTTCATTTTATTCAGCCTACAATGTCCTTCTTCAGCAGCTGCATCTTATTTTCCTCACCTCTGACCACCAGAACTATAAATATTCTATAGTTTTGGTGGTTAGTATTTGCCAAGACATCTCAGTTATAATGCAAGCACTTTGATCTGCACTAAATGCTCATGTTTAAACTAGCTAAAAATAATATTTCATGTTAATTGTTTAAGGCAGAATCAACTGAAGTGCTGTGAATCTCAAAATAATTAGTAAAGTACTCAATCAATTTTCTCAAAAGAATAGTAAAGAGGAATTTCAGTAAGAAACATAGCTGGCATAGAAACTGAAGAAGAATGAACTCTCTCTACAATGCAACATCTGGTTTAAGGTCCTCTTACAAATAACAAACATAATAAATAAAACATATATGTACCAGACTATATATGAAGACAAAAAATACTTTCACTCAACTCTGTTGTCATATAGATTGAGTAGAGCTTTTGCCTTTAACTTATCCATGTCCTCAGGTACAGGTAGTCCTCAATTTACAACCACAATTGAGCCCAAAATTTATGTTGCTAAGTGAGAAATTTGTTAAGTGAGCTTTCCCCCATTTTATGACTTTTCTCGCCACATTTGTTAAGTGAATCATTGCAGTTCTTAAATTAGTAACATGGCTGTTGAGTGAATCTAATTTCCTCATTAACTTTGCTTGTTGGAAGGTTGCAAAAGGGGATCATATGACTCTGGGACACTGCAACCATCAAAAATGTGAGTCGGTTGTCAAGCATCCAAATGTAAATCATGTGACCATGAGGATGCTGCAATGTTGTAAGTGTGAAAATCATCATAAGTCACTTTTTTAGTACCATTATAACTTCAAATGGTCACTAAATGAAGTGTTGTAAGGACTAGCATTTAGTATTTGTAACTTTAGGTTTCATTTGTAGCAACAAGTAACACTGAAATGATGCAATTCAAGAGAAGTACTAGGTTGACCTGCTCAGGACAATCAAATGCAAAAGAGCATGATTCCTGCTTTTTTATTCTATAGTTAATTTCCTAGCTGCATTTCCCATAAACAGAGTTAGTTTAAGGTAAAGGTAAATGTTCCCCTCGCACATATGTGCTAGTCGTTTCCGGCTCTAGGGGGTGGTGCTCATCTCCGTTACAAAGCCGAAAAGCCAGCACTGTCCGAAGACGTCTCCGTGGTCATGTGGCTGGTATGACTAAATGCCAAAGGCACACGGAACACTGTTATCATCCCGCCAAAGTGGTCCCTATTTTCCTACTTGCATTTTTACATGTTTTCGAACTGCTAGGTTGGCAGAAGCTGGGACAAGTAATGGCAGCTCACTCCGTTACACGCTGCTAGGGATTCGAACCACCGAACTGCCGACCTTTCTGCTCAACAAGCTCAGCTAGTCTTTAATTTAGAAGGAAGGTGAATGAGGGGGAACATGATTGAAATGTACAAAATTGTGCATAGTGTAGATCGAGTGGAAAAGGAGAAGTTGTTTTTCTTTTCTCAAAAAACTAGAACCAGAGTTCAAATAATAAGATTGAATACTGGAAGAATCAGGACAGACAAAAGTTTTTTTTTTACACACAACCTGTAGCTAAACTTTGGAATTTGTTTCCATGAGATGCTTAGCCTGGATGGAAGTTTGATTGCCTCTGAAGTCCTTCTGCTTGGAGATTGGCAGACTTCCTTATGCAGTCAGTTGGACCACTGTGAGAACAGATTGCTGAACTAAATGAGCCAAGGGTCTGATTCAAAAGGGCACTGCTTATGTTCTTAATGAAGAACTTAACAAATAAAATAAGGTCTTAATGAATAGCAGGATATAATTGCAATCAGAATGAAGATCTTAATTAAGTTAGTAATGATGATATTGCACAGCTGTAACTATACTTATTTGTTCTTAGCAAATCAAGAAAAGTGAAGAAATAAAATATTTCCAAAGAATAGGGTACCACTTTTTGCAAATTGATTATTTTAAAAGATTTGATTATTTTTTTATTTAGACCCATAAAGCAGTTTGAGCTTGGAATAAGTACCTTGCTCTGTGGAAATTCTTAACAGATAGCATTTTTTCAATTCCCATTTTAGCCTGGCATCTCCCATCTCATCCAGCTCTATTATTGAGCTGAGTTCAGTCACTTCTGCCCATTTTCCCTGTTGACATGGATAGAAAATTGAGCAATTACCCTTAAACGCTTTTCTCTAAGATCACCCAGATTGCTACATACACAATATTAAGTCCTCAATTGCCCCTGGCCAAAAGTGGTTCAACCGGGTCTGTCTATTAGGAATTAAACAATTTTTGTTGCTTGCAAGAGTTTATTATTCCTAGGGTTGTCATCTACTAAATCCTATTAATGGTGAAAGCTAGTCTGTCTCTAAGTCTAAAATCAAGATAAAAACAAGACAGAAATAACTGAAGGCATTCCACTAATCATTCAATGTGCATTGGTTAAGTATATTGATATACATATGTGTACCACAAAGATATGATGCATTGATTAAACTCTACTATTTCATCTATGCAAACCTTACTAATGAATCCCATATCTAAAACAGAATTTGAATTCAGGAAATTTGTTGGATTTCTTTTAAGTGAAGTTTTTAATTTTCATAACTCTATTAGAGCTGAATGAAAAAGTACAATAGCAATGTCAAAAAGAAATGAAATGTCAGTTATAACATAGACACCTAACAATGGGATTAGCTAGTGCCATTATTCTTTGTTTAAACATTTTCAAAAAGATACAGATACATTTAAAAGATCCATTTAAAAGTATACATGTAATACATACAAATTTGGGAAAAATAATGTTATGTAGTAAAGGAGGATAAGAAAAAGAAAGCACATTTTTAAAGGAAAGCATAAGAACAGGAAATATAGCTAAATACAATTTATACCAACATCATTCATCTTTCTTACTCATTTGATTTTATCAAGTATATATATCACCTCATACATTGAGTTTTCTTCTTTACAGCTCACCTCTATGTCCGTTTAACTACAATTTTTTGATCCTCCTTCTATTTCACCCATTCATCTCCCTTCTTATTTGTTTGCTATTCATCTATTCTGTCTTTTATCATCAAACTATATCAATATAGTTATTTCATATGAATTACTCATTTTGTATTCCCACTAATCCAGCTCCCATTAATTTTTTGACCTTTTGTTTTATTTTACCACACATAATTCCCATTATATTTTATTTTATGTTTCTCTTAACATACCAAAGTCTTACTTACATGTAAAAGAAAGGTAGGCATGGGGCCAGGTTCTCTGCAGGACCACCTATCCCTAAGGACATATACCTGTCCTAACATCATCAGATAGGATGGGCATGATCCTAGTCCCTTCCCTTAAATATTGCCATTTTATGGAATGTAGGAAATGTGCCATTTCCGGGGTAGCCCCTGCCCTATAAAAATTCTTTTCTCTTAAAGTTTATAGACCTCTACCCCTCTAGCTTTCTGAAAAGCACTAAAGACATGGCTTTTCCCCAAAGCACTGAGATAGGGTGAGGTGGATGAGAGATTCTAATGAAGGATTGATTATACAGTATGTTAACTTTGGCAGCAGTTTTTTTAATGTTTGATTAAATATTAAACATTTAATAGGTGTATATATCATGTTGGTGTATTATTGATTTTTTAAAAAAAATGTTGATTGGTAGCTGCCCAGAGTTCAATATAAGATAGGCAGCTATATAAATATTCAAAATAAGAAAGATTGGCCATTTTTGTTCTTTCAACAAATTCATTCTTCACCACAGAACCCACATTTTATCACCATTTGAATATCTTAAAATCTTTTCATATATTTTCCCATCTTTAGTGAGCATTTTACCAAGATATACAAATTCAATTAGCTGTTCTACTTTTTCATTCAACTGTATTCCATACAGTTGGGGAAGCATAGTACAAGAATTTATTAAAGTGCTTGCCTTAAAAACATACATTGAAGAAAAATTGGATATTAAAATATTTAAAAAGTTGTAAATTAATAATATACATTAATATTCAAATGATTTTTTGATATCAAAAACAAAAACAAATAGAATAAAATGTATAACAACATACAAATTACACTAGAAAGATATCCTGTATTTCTTTGCTGTCTTCCAGACAAATAAAAGTTGAACATGTATTGTAACTGAAGTCATCAGAAACATGAGACTATCTTAATTTCAATTAAAAGGGGAATTTGTACCTTCTCCATTATCTGCCTCTGTACTCTGTTGTCTTAGACGATGACTGAAAAATATTACAAAGTGAAGTCACCATTAGAGGCAAGTGTATAAAACAACATCTTAAGTTTTCCTCTGAAGAAACCCATATAGCATTTTTGGCTCTAAAAAGAACCTACAAATTATTAGAAAAGAGAGTGCATCTTTGCATATCTTTTTGCATATATATTAATCTTGGTGCTTTACAATTACATTGACTCCAATAAATACCATATCTGAAGACTGAATCAAAATTAATAGCTCTAACTCCATAATTTTAGTTTAAATAGGGATATTTTAATAAATGGAACAAGAAAAAATATCCTTGAAATTAGCTCCAGACTTCAAGGGTTTAACACGCTTCTTTTGTAGATTTGATAAGAAAACATTTTCCAAGTCATTCTCTTGATTTGCCATTTGTAATTCCCTTGAAATTTTTAAAACCTCAGCCATTTTCTTTAATATATCCAATAATCCAATAATAAAGGACAATAAAAATTTGTCCTTTTTAAAATCATTCTCTTGGCTGTCATTAGACGAAATTCTATTGTTTCCTCTTTAACATATTTTAACATAATTTATCCATACAATCTGACATTTTTACTGAAACTGTTGATGTTGTAGCTATTAATTTCTAACTCAATTCTTCAAAGATCCTCTTTAATATTTCCAATGTTATATTTTGTGTCATTTTGTAAATCCCAGTTAACCAGTACCATAAGCAAGCTTGTATTTTTTCCGATCTATTTAGAATCTTTAGTCCTCTATAGCTTCTAGTTCTAAAATAATAGTCATTTATCTGTTCTTATGAACAAGGATATCTAAAATAATTCTGTTCACATGAGAGGTTATTTATTTTTTGTAAGTAATTCTAAAATCTTATATTAAATGTCAACATTCCAAATTTAACTTGACCTTTAATCCATTTCTTAGATCAAAATCATATTTAGCTTTTTGCCGTTTATTTCAAATTCTTTATTTTTAAGCTTGTACTTAATTTTTCTTTTGTTCATTATTGCAGCTAAATTCACCCAGCAACTTTTCAAATTTGTTGTTCCAAAGGTCTCAATAGTGTTAAGATGGTTAATAAGCAAATTCTGAAAGTGATTAAAGAGGCTTGCAAAAGTAGCATCTTTTAAAAGGCTCTTCTTGTCAGGCACGAAGGATCAGATCCACAGGTGAAGATCCAATTAAACTGATTTATTGCTATTCATGCCTATACACAGGGATATTCTCCATTCATGATTAGTATCTATTAGGAATTAAATAAAGGTCAACAGAATTCAAGGGACTTTGGGCTTAGTCTGCTTATGGTTACATAGGATGATTCCTGCTTTAACTCTTCCCCCAGGTTCTGCCACTCCTCCCTCTACACTGCTGCAATGGCAAGCAAGATGGCTAATCTCTTTGTCTCCCATTGTTCAAGCTCACAGAATACCTGAGTCTCCACAAGGAACAGATACTCAGAGCATATGTGGGTGATCGCCTATCCTCTTGTTATCTGGAGAGGTTTTAAAAAAAATGGTCCACTCATTGGTTCTTTGGTGTTTGCTGTGTTCACTGTGCCCTGGTTTTCTCTTCAATTTGCTATTCCTTCCAAAGAAGTTCAGTTCATCAAACTTTCTCATGTGAAACTTGACAGTTGTTGCCACAGGTCATGCCCTTCATTCTTAATCACACAGAGAAATCAGTTTTTCTGGTTCATCATTACATTTTTTGGCTCAATGATGCACAGTATTTGTTTCACAAAGCCACATTGCCATAAACAACTGCATTTAGCAGTCTTGAAGAGTCATACGTTAATGGTGTGCTGCTTAAAGTGTACTGACAAGTACTCACTACAGGTTGATGTTTCACAAACAGTAGCATCATCACTTTTCTTATAGCAAATTCTCACCAATCGGAGTGAAAGAACAGATGCTAAACTAGACTTCAGAAGTTCTACTGCATCTGTACTGCCATCTGTTGGAGATTTAATATTGCTACTTTTCTTTCATCCTGAGTCATGGGCAACCATATAAATTTAATGAACAAACAGATAGACAAACCATTGTAAAAATCCAAGCACAAGCCTCAGTAATGAAAGCAGCTTTTTAAGAATGGCTTCCAAATATCTAATTATTATTTTAAATTATTTATATAATACTTCAGTTCTTTGGGAGATCATAAGACTTCAATCTATTCCCTTTGGCATTTAAGAAAATAGTTTATAAGATTGTACAGCAATCTAGTTTCCAAGAAAAGATGATTTGGAGCATGTATAGGTACAGATCTTTGCACATATTGCCAACTTGTGCCTTTTCCCAGGATCATATACTGTATGAACTCAGGCTGTTATCTTTGATCAAAGGATGAATATGCAGGTGCACCCATATGTGCTATAAATTACCTTTTTTCCCTTTAAATCTAGATCACTGGAAAACCCTAATAGCTTGTAACCATTTCAATACACATGACCCAAACCTACAAAAATATCTACAGGGGCAGTAGCCACAAACATAAAATGATGAAAATGATGAAAATTTCTTAACATTTATGTGGAAACATAGTAGACAATGAGGGAGTCACTTACTCTTCAACTTCTTGTTCTGCAGGTTTCTTTTTTGACCTAAAAGACAACAAAGGCCTACACTGAACAATGGAAAAACAAAGCTCACAATAACTTTTCAAAGTGTTATTTCAGGAGAAGTACATTTTGATTCAATGCATTTATCTGAAAGGAAATCTACATTTTCTCCAAATTATTCATCTTTCAAATAAAAAAGATCATCTTTGATTCATTGAGGGTACAGCAAAGAAGCCAGATCAGTTCTTTTTTTCCTTCAGGTTCTTTTTTAGTATTGAGCTAGTCACTCTACCTCACAGAGCTGCCATTGTGAGGGGAAACTGAACACAGTCTTAAGCTCACAAAGAAAAGGCAGGATATAAATACAGTAAAGAAACAAGTAAAATGATAAAAGCCACATATCACACTAGTGCTCAGGAAGGCAATAGTTTGATAAACCTAAATTGCTGGTTTTAATTCTGAGATCCTAGACTGTTTGAACGAATGGATACTTGCAAGTAGGATGTGATCAGCGTTGTATATGGTGGCTTGGTATCCAATGATTCCAACAAGGGTTCTACTAACTTTTCTCCTGCAACGTCTGTACTCTCTTTAATGCATGAGAATTAAGTATGCTGCTACCAGTTACTTTACCTCAAAGAAATCCTCTTTGTCACTGATTTATCAGAAGAGGAATAATTGAGAAATTCCCTTCCTTCATATCTCTAAAAGCTAAATACCTTTACTAGAATGTGTACCACTAGCTCATTAAGAAATTTAGAACTTTATTATATTTAACAATGTAAAAGACATAGACAGATCTGAGGGGAAAAATAAGAGGGAAGGAAGGAAGAATGAATAAATGTTTAATGGAGAACCTGATCTCTGTCAGTTCCTTCCAGCCCAGGATCTTATAGAAGAACATATATCCAAACACACAGCCTGGAGAAGAGTTCACAAATTAAACTAAAACACAAACTCTACTGCAACTAGCTTTACTGATCTAGCTGTCTAAATTCACTACATTTCATTTGACTCACTATTGACTATGGCTTTGTTCTTAGATGCTTCTATTTGGGGTTAAGTATTATCCATGAACTGATGAAACCCAACCTTAATCCTTGACTCCAGTCTGAAGAGAAGATATTAAGAAAGCCCTGACCCAGTACAATAACTGCAGGCTAATTAGATGGGGTGAAGTTTTTAAAAAGTACCCTGGTTGTTTCATCACTGTCTATTTTATTCTATGTCACTAAAAATTAAAAAGCAAACAGTATCCAGTCTTCAAGAGAATATTTGTACTTATCTCAAAGCAGTTGCAGCTTTATTTATTTTACTCTTTTTTACAGAGGCACTCTTATCAGTAAGATGGGCAGCACAGAAATTTAATAAATAATAAATATGTTTTAATATCTATTTCTATTTAATTCTATAACCTACTTTTATCATCTTGTTGATGCTTTGTCTCTTAAGTTGTAAGTCATCAATAATGAAAAGATTAGGAGCAGATACATTTGAATAAATGATTAAATATAAATAAATTAAATATCAAACACAAACTATTTGACACAAAACAACCTCAATGTTTGTTGTTTTTCTTCTCAACTCATCTGTATTGATAGGTCAGCAATTTTTCTTTAACTCTTTTAATGTGAAATCTCTTGGAATGGAATTTCCCCACATCCACTACAAGACTCTGCATTCATACACAGAAGAGATGCAAAAATTCCCATAGTTCCTTTTATTCAAGAACCAAGTGAAGACACACAAATTATTCACAATATCACTATTGCTACTCTTTTGTAACATCTGAAATTGTTCTCAGGGCTGAACTGAATACATTGAATCATGAATACATTGAATCCTGGGGAGATATTTTTAACACTATTATCTGAAAAGCAGCCTCTGAATATTTTTCAAAATTAAAGCAATGTAAGAATAAAGCTTTTTTTAACTCTCAAAGGAAGATTATGATACAACCCTACCTTTGCCCTGCTACTTTTAACTATAAATGATTATTAAACCCAGCTATCTCTTATAATCCTGGAAGTGCTGATTTTAGATGCCCTGAAGATTGGGCAAAATCTGGTTCCATTACTATCAGTTTTTAATAATAGTTAAATATTATTACATGAATATTAAATACATATTATTAGTTAATAATATTGTGAAGATGGGGCAGAAGATGGCAGACAACTCGTTTGTTCTTCACCACGCCGGCAAGCCCAGAACTAATTCAGATCCGATTAGGAGTGCTTGTTCAATATTCAAAATGTAGAACATAGAGGTTGCTGAACCAGCACTTTGAAAAGTTAATTAAATGTCAGGTTTCTTTTTAACAGATACTCCATCACTTGCTGATTGCTTTGACTGTTTCACAAGATGAAGTTTTTTAACTCTGCACATTGGGAAATACTCTTTTTCCATTCCCTAGAGCAAAGAGCACAGCATGAAAAGGTACATAATAAGGCTGTACTCTACCACTACATGTTCTGCTTTTACAAAAAAGGTATCCCTGAAAATTTCAGAGATAATGCCTATTTCTTTAAGACTGGAAATTGTCTCATTCTCATTTTTTTCAAAAGCAGGCTTTATTTGCAATTATACAAACAGTGCAAACTTTTTTATGTTTTGGTTCAAATAATTTGGCTTTGCATACTGGAAGAGTTTTACTATGCCATGATTCTTACTAGGGGAGCTGGTACTATAGTATGTGCTGTTAATGTCACAGGACACAATACACCCAGCCAGGAATCTGAAGAAGAGTAATATGATAGTGATTACAAAAAAGAATAGAGAGTGAATAGGAAGTAGTAATGAAAAAACTGCGAGCAAGTCTTCTTCGAGGTTTGATTTAACAAACAGTAAATACTAAAGCTTAGCAAAATCCAATGAATTGTTCATTTCTGTTTCAAAAAGAGTAGAAGGTGGGGAGCTAAAGCTGTGTAGTAGTTAAGGGATTATGTTAGGAACAGTGAGAAGTTTCATGGGGAACTTTGGGTCAGTCACTCAATTTCAATCCAATTTATCACACAGGTTGTTTGTTGTAGGGAAAATTAGGAGGGAACACTACGTACATTGGCTTGAACTCCTGTACAAATAGGTCCAAAATAAATCTAATCAAATAGAAAATAATTTAAAATGTTAACATCCAAATATATATTTAAATTTTAGGTTTTGTAGTAGGTTCTAGTTACAGTGGCGCCATGGTATTTGACTGCTTCAAATTCACGGAATTTGGTACTCAACATGTTTTGAAGTAAAAAATCTTGTCCAGGTACTCATCTTTCACCCAGTACTCAACACACAAGGTAGAACTTGCTGGCATCAGCTGCCTCGTGACTCACTACTCCTTCTGGCCAATATAAAGAGTCATGTGGTAAGTCACATACAATGTGGCTATAGGATGCTGAACCATTGTGAATGTGAACTAGTTGACAACCCCCCAAATTACAATTGTGTGGCTGGGGAGATGATAAGACTGTTGTAACTTTGTGGACAGGTCATAAATTACATTTATCAGCACCATCTCTGAACCATCATTAAACAAATGGCTGTAAGTTGAGAACTATCACAGAAAGTATACATCACCTCAAATGCAGTATCTTTTACTATTGAATTCAATCAAACAAATATAAACAATTTATACAGTCATCTGTGAGTCACTTTGAGAAAGTGATTCTCACATGCATACACGTGTAAGAATGCATAAAAGAGAAAAAAAGTAGGAGAATGGTAAAAAAAAGTTTGAAATAAGTTCTTTACAAGGCATGTTAGTGTGAATAAAGGCCTCTTCCCTAAAATTTTAAGTAGACGCAGCCTTTTAGAAATCTTGTGTGACTATTTATTTATTTATTTGATTTGCCAATTGTTTACAAGATAATAAGTATAAGTGTATACATAGTTGTGAATACATGAAATGGGTACATATAAGAAAAATAAAAGAAGAATAAGAGAAACAATAGGACAGGGACGGTAGGCACGTTGGTGCGCTTATGCACGCCCCCTACAGACCTCTTAGGAAAGGGGTGAGGTCAATAGTAGACAGTCTAAGGTTAAAGTTTTTGGGGTTTGGGGAAGAAACTACAGAGTCGGGTAGAGTATTCCAGACATTGACCACTCTATTGCTGAAGTCGTATTTCCTGCAATCAAGTTTGGTGCGGTTAACTTTGAGTTTGTATCTATTGTTTGCTCTTGTGTTGTTATGGTTGAAGCTGAAGTATTCATTGACAGGTAGGACATTGCAATGTATGATATCCGAAGCCTGTCCCCAGATGTTTGTCCCCAGATATACAGAACTTCTTGCAGATCAGCTAAAACTGTGAAATGTAACAACTGAGCATAGATACATAAGCAACTAGGGGACAGCCCTCAAAACCCCTTAGCAAAACTCCACAGAAATGCAGTTGTTTGCTCTGCTCTCATATACATACTTTATGAAGTATTACTTTTGAATAATTTGCACAGCAATGATTCAAAAGCTATCAAATCTAATTATGAAGTTCTCTGATTCCAATGTCATGTATGTAAATTTCTTCCCTCACAAGTGGCATCTGTTCTGATGGCAGGGTTCAACTCTCTATCTGCTCAAATTAGATTAACTCCCCACACCTTCCCTAAGAGTTTCAGAGAACTCAAAAGCTTATATCCTCTATTCAGCCCTTTGATTAATCATAATATGAATTAGAATCCACAAAAATTGTTTCATGGATCAACTAAGATATAATGGTTTTTATATGTATATCATATCTATTTCATAAAGAAAACACAGGTCGTCCAGTTCATTTAGTGACCGTTAAAGTTACAATGGCACTGAAAAAAGTGACTTATGACCATTTTTCACACTTATGACCATTGCAGCATTCTCATAGTCCACCTGTTCAAAATTCAGATGTTTTGCAACTGGTTCATATTTATAATGGTTACAATGGCCAGAGGTCATGTGATCCCCTTTGGTGCCCTTCTGACAAGCAAAGCCAGTGGGGAAGCCAGATTCACTTAACAACCTTGTTACTAATTTAACAACTGCAGTGATTCATTTAACAACTGTGGCAAGAAGAGAT